GAGTACTGACCAGGTCAGTAGCAACAGCTTCTCTAGAAGCACGGTACAAGTGGTTAGAAGAACGGTGACCAAGGAGTGTTTGAACACGTGAGTGACAGAGCCCTGGCACAGGCTGCCCGGGGAGGTTGTGGAGTCTCCTTCTCTGGAGGTCTTCACAACCCSCTGGATGCCACCCTGTGCCACATGCTCTGGGTGTYGCTGCTGGAGCAGGGGGTTGGACTAGATGATCTCTAGAGGTCCCTTCCAACCTCAACTGTTCTGTGTATGTATTCGCATTGCTCAGCTGATATGCCTCTACAGTCAGAGGCCCCTGTTGGAGTCTAGAGGACTTGTTCTGTGGGTCGTGGTGCCATCTAGGGGAAGGCCGGAAAGGATGAAGAAGCAAAGTGAGAGACGCAGCTTTATGTTAGTGAAACTCAAAATCTGGTCCAGCTCACATAACTGTGAAACAAGGAATTCAGGCTTGAAGAGAAAAAGATCCCACTTAAGAGCTCATCTGAATGTGCTTTAGTGATATGATACAAGGCATTTCTTAAAATTCATACGCAATGATGAGGATATAAGCCTTCAAATATATTTTCATAATTAAAATACGTCCAGGTTTTTAACCAAAAAGACTAATTTCTGCTTGATGATATATTAAAAATGAAGTTCATTTGACATCTTGATTAACGATTAAAATAAAATATGAAATACTCCAGCACACACTTAGATTAAGACTGGGGAACTAACTGATACAGTGCATACCTTTCTAAACATATGCACAAATATGGAAAGAGACAGAAGTGAACTATGTATTTTAAGATTTTACATAGACCACTATAAGTAGTTTTAACAATTGATTAAGCCTTTGCAAACTTTTCCAAACATTAGGATAATTAACCATACCAACCCTGCATAGACAACATACAGATGCCTATGTGGACATCTGTGCTATAAGTCTGCATTTTATCTCCAATAATTTAGACGTAAGGAGTAGAAAAAAAGGCAACTGAAGAAGAAACATTTTTTTCTGAGTTGCTTATTAAAGTCCTTCCCCACAATATAAATGCCCCTTCCATGCCATTTTCTTTAACACAATTTAAGTTGACCAGATAACTGAGGAAAAGCAGCAAGATGAAGCAGAACTAGATTCAAAGATGGGGGCATCTTACCCTGGGAAAACAGTGTTTACAAATTTCCACTGAATTCAGAAAAGGAAATTTCTGCATTTCCCATTTTTATTAGGGTGTTTTTTCAATAATCAAAAAGTAATGTTTTGATTACAGAAGAATATACACGACCAGCTTCAAATATAAGGACCACTTATTCCTACCACATAAATTCTTTTTCCTGTAGCTCTTGCCAGAAATATCTTCTGTGATTCATTCAAAATGATGAGCAGATTTGTTTTCTCCTCTTTAAGTGCTTTCAGATGAGTCAGAATCAAAATGTCCTTATCCAAGGACAAATTTATGAAGAATTCCTAGACAAAGTAACATCTACCTTATATGAGTTACTACAGAAATAAATGTATCCATTTATATTATAGCTACTACCGGTACCGCAAACTTTCCAGATATTAAAAAAAGGATCTTCCAGAAACCACACCACACACACAAGATCTTTTGGTGGGCATGAACTCTGGTTGTGGAACTATGGCCACACAAGGGTGCTGATCAGTTTTATCTTTTAAAATGTTTTATGCAGCTGCATACTGCATTCAGAGGTGTCTGTGGAATGAGACATAATAATCAGCAGCTCATGGTAATGAGCTCTCCACCCTCTGCAGATAACCTCAGCACGAAGCCACGTATCTCAAACAAAAAGGATTGCTACCGAGAGCTGCACAAGTTGTTTCTATATCAGCTAGCTTGGTGCTTAGACTGTASTTACAACCTTATTTTAACCTTAAGGGAAGCAGGAGGACTAGGATCATTTCTGAATATTAGCAACCTAGAAGTTTAGGAACAAACCACTAAGTAGTCCAAACTCATTAGGAGACCTGTCAGGTACAACTGGATTGGGCTTTATCCCCTTCCAAAATGAAGACTATACTRTAGCTGAGCACTACATATCTTAACCTGATCTTGACCCAAGATATCCCGGAACGTATTGTTGGGTACTGAATCATGCAAAATCAGCTACTAAGTAGTTTTGACAAGAAACAGAGCAATCCTTGCCTATCTAAATGAGATCAGGCCCAAGACCTTATAAATGATGTAGTACGCATTGTTTTAGCCGCACAGAAAGTGGTAACACATTCCAAAATGGAAATTGCACAATTTTTATTCTACCATAAAACTAAAATACAGGATGCTCTAAAGAAAGCACATTTAGAGATACTGAAATGAAGTGCAATTTACAGAAACATACAGTAAACTTGTACWATTTCCTGTTGTTGAGATCGTTGTATCTGATACTGTGCCAAGCTGGTATGATTTGAATTGGAGTTAGCATGCCAAAGCCGCAGTAGCCAAAATAATTCTATAGATCTAAGATCTTAAAAAATAAGTTCATCATATGCTAAGGTCAGAAAGAATTTTCCTTTTTATATTCACCATTTTACACCCCAATTCATAATCTTACATCCTGAGGAAACCTTAAGTCAGTTTACTGTTCATCATTTGTAAGATCAAAGACATACAAATACTATCTGAGGCCTTCTTTAGGAGCTGCTGCAAACCGCTTTTCAGTCAGAACAAGGTTTCTACAAATAGAATACGCTAGTTTTCTGATATGAGAATTCCAACATAAGATTTGTTCACCTTTTGTAATACACAAGTCTTTTTTTTATTTACATTTGATTTAGAACTGTTACACTTGAGAGTTGAAGCACCCTGGAGATTTTATCTAAAGAAAATCTTATTTTACTTAGGTAATTGAACACAATACAAAACCTTGGGTAACTTATATGGAAGTAAACCAAATGTGATATATAAAGAAAAAAAAATTTACATATTGGTCTGTAATCTCCYCAAATAAGCAACCCTCTTGTATGCAGTAATTATGCAGTGGAAAAATACAAAAAGCAAATACCAGAAAAAGCAGGAAACATCATTAAATTCTGTGAACTCTAAACAGATTCAACAGGTTCTTCAGCTAACCATGCACATCTAATAACAGTGAAAAAGTTTCAAGCTAAAGGCATTTAAAATAATAACCCTTTTAAAATTACAATGACCTTAAATTTATGTCATTTATTATTTCCTCTTGTCATTCTCTTACGGCATTRTATAAAGGATTAGAATCATTCCATCAAGAACATTTTGAACATATTAAAACTATGCAGGGAAAAGAAAATAATGAAAATGGGAGAATTTTGAAAATGGCAATAAGGAAAAGAAAACCTCAGCATTTTAACTCTTACCATCAAATAAAATAATTTAGAATACATTCACTGTATCTGAAGCAAATATCAAAAGCAGCTATMAAAAGAGCTACCTGAAGGACTTAAAATTAGAGAAGAATCGCCCAAATCTGCCACCCAATGCTGTTACACACCAAGATCACTGGCAGAGTTTTGCCTGTAAATACCCATTATTCTTGCGCGGATGCACCTGGACAAGAAACATCGCTTTGATCTTACCTTCAGCTGTGTGAACCTCCTCCATCGCCCTTTCTGCAGAGCTCTAGCAAGTCACAGCTCTCTTTCCATTTGAGTTCCTGCAATTTTAGAACTTATTTTGAGATTTCACATGTATTAAAATAGGAAAAGTTCTAAGCCACTGAAATTRGGGCTTGCTTATTTCTACTGCAAAATCATTCCTTATTGCAGATATTCTCTCCTCCTCCCTTCTTCCATTTTCAAAGATGCTACACGCAAGCAAAGGCCTCCCAGAGTTATGAACCTCACCTGCTTACAAGCCTTGGCTCTGGGTGGGTGATCAAGCTGCCTCAGGAAAGTCACTTTACTTTTCCATTACTTTTGAAAATTAGCTGYACTTAAATATAAACAGATATGCAGGCAAATGTAAAATACACGTTGACTATGCCTACCAAACTGAACAAATACAATGGGGCCATGCCTGCATTTTATTCCCCCTCTTTCATTGCAAGCTCCCTGGCTGTTAACGCTGCTCAGGAGCCTTCATGGATTCTGGTCACCTGTTTCCAGAGGGAGCAGGCAGGAACCACAGCCCTGCGGGCAGAGATAATCACCTCCCCCACACAACAAGGGCGCTCTTCACAACAGTCACACTAGCAGGCTAAGGGCTGGGGCAGGGATCCCTTTTAGCCGGCCAGAGTGAACAGCGATTCCCTGGAGGGAGCCAGGAGGACAGGGCACATCCCGGGAGCCACCGGGAAGCAGGGCCACGGGAGCAGGGCAGGGGCGCCCGGGGGTCTGCAGCTGCTGTGCAGCAAACGCCCTCCCTTGGGCCTCCTYGCCTGGCATCAGCACAGGCCAAAACAGGCAGCCTGTTAGTTGAGCAGCATTTCCACTCCTTTCCTCGGTGCTCGCTTTGGAAAGACACAACCGTACCCCACTGACATGGTTCCAGAACGCATGCCAGGAAAGTAACATGAAAAAGAAAAATAAAATAACGACATATACTGAAAGCACAAGCCACGTGCCTCGCTGCCCGTTGCTTTGCCCGTTCCCACAACGCTCCGTCCTCGGGCTCCTTCTCTTTGGCCCTCTTTGCGCTTCCTCCGCACGACGCCCCTCGGTGGCCGCTCTCCTCGCTCCCGCTCGGAGCTCTCCGGCCGCGCGGCTYCTCTCCACCCTTCCCGGGGCCGCGCTGGGCGCTGCCAGGCGCGGAGCGGGAGCCCGGCCGCCCTCCCGCCTCCGCCATGGGGCAGCGCGGGGGCACGAAGCCGCCGCGGCCGCTACCGCCATCTTAGCGCGCGAGGGCGCCTCAGCGGCCGCCGGGAGGAGCCTCCTCGGCCCGAGCGGAGCCTCCTCGGCCGGGGCGCGGGCAGCGCCGCCGGCACAGGCCGAGCTCCGCACCGCCCACAAGCAGCGAAGCCGATAAGGGGGCGGCGCGGGCAGAGCCGCCATAGCGCGGCGCGGCAGCGCCATGCGCTTCGCSTGCCTGTCCTTCCGGCAGCCCTACGCGGGGCTGGTGCTGGACAACGTGAAGACGCTGGAGAGCCGCTGGCGGCCGCTGCTGGCCGCGCACGCGGGCCGCACGCTGGCCGTGCACATCGCGCAGCACGACTGGGAGGGCGAGGCGTGGCGCGAGCTGCTGCTGGCGCGGCGCGGCCTGGCCCCGGAGCGGCTGCGCGAGCTGCTGCGGCACGGCGAGCGGTTCGGCAGGGGGGTGGTGGCAGGTGAGCGGCCCCGGCGCGCGGCGCAGCTCGGCCCTGCGCGGGCCTGGCCGGCGGGCGCGGCGCCGCAGGGCCCGGCTGCCCTCGGGCTGCGGCCGTCAACCAGCCGCGGAGCCGGAGGGGCCGCGGGAGCGGCCTCGGCCTCTCTCAATCATATTCAGACTGGGAGTAAATGCTTCGGTGCGCTACAAAGCTGATGTGTGTCGCTGGATCCTGCTCTGTGACAGGAGTAGTATTTTCATCYTGTTAAACAGGCCAATTACCTAGTTTCCCCCCCTCACCTTTTGAGCTTATGAATGCTTGCTGACAGCATGTAACACTGTGCATGCAGTTAAATGAAGTCACCCAGCTGTATCCCTTTGCAYGTCTAATATTAGAATATTATATAAGTAAATTCCCTTTCAGTTTTAGAAATGCTAGGAGTTACCAACAATGACACTTTCGTAACGCACAGAATAGCCCTGTTTCTTTGCTTGTATTGTGCTGAAATACTGTATAAAACTTGCAAAGTTTGTATCCAATACTCACTTTGTGCTTTTTTACTGAAGTGCCAATTTATTGGTTGTAACATCTATCCTGCATTCCCATTTGAGTATTTGAAATGGATCCAGAAATGGATCCAGAAAACAGGAACACAATTCAAAGATTTTAATGTAGTAAAATGTCTTGATATAAGCAGACAGTTTTATTATTAAAGACACTATTCCAAAGTGTCWTTACATAGATCAGTTTTCAGTAGCAGCCTTCAAAGATGCGGACTTCTTTTGACAGAATTTTAACTTCCCAGATGGGGAATCTTACAACTCCGTGTTCAGCTCTTCTTCACCTATGTAGCTTCAGTCATAGGGTAGCAATTGCTACTTGCTGGAGGTGTACATGCTTGAAACAACATTCTATTAGTAACAATGGTTTGTAGGTAATTTTTGAGGTTTATTTTCAGGAAAAAAAATCTAGAAAAAAATTAACCAGATTTTTTTAAATTTTATAATACAGGATTAATTGACATTGGAGAGACATCGCTGTATCCAGAAAACTTACCTCCTGAAAAGGTTTTGGAGCTGGAAGACAAAGCTGTCCTCAGTAATCTGGAGCAGAAGTACTTGACTGTTGTTTCAAATCCCCGCTGGCTGCTGGAACCAATTCCTGCCAGAGGGAACAGAGGTATATGGTACATAGACATCCCTGAAGAACTGATCCCTCCAGAATCATAGGAGTTGCTCCGTGCTATGTTTTTCCTTTCTAAATAAAAGCTTGCCTTCAAYATTGAGTGGTAAACAATGAGTGAATTATTTAGGATTGCCATCCAAAGGTCTGAAATAATGTATTTATAGAAATGCTGTTTTGAAACAAAATAATGAAGCTCTCAATTCAATATGACTAAACACTGGCATATTATATGATGTACATATACATATGATTATATGAGGAAAAAAAGAGAATCTTTGACAAAAATTTTAATAGTGAAAGCTGGCTCTCAAATACATTACATATTTAATCCTACATTACATATTTAATCCTTATATTTGTGGCATCATGGAGAAGGAAAGCATTTGAGATAGAGCTAATCCTCAGGGCTTCTTAAATCAGAGCAGAAATTTATGTGATGGAGTTTATACATAGGCAGTCATGAATTTGCTGTAAATCTAAAACTTACAGAAGTTCAAATTTTTCTTTTGTGTGGATCAGGTACACTGCATGTGCTTATGTCTGCAGAGAACAACCACCAGCATATGGTTTGGGGAACTAACAGCCTTTGCAGAAAAGCTTGTCAGAAAGGCATTATAAAACAAAATGTTTTTCCCTCATTTATATGAGAAATACTAAATAACCATGAAAAGCCATTAATTATGTCAATTTGGGATTTTTTCAAGCTTCACTGACTGCATTACAATGAAAATTCATTTTGATTGTGCAGCATTTCTTTACACACAGTGGCATGAGAGTTAAAGTGCCAGGATACCCAAGGTCAAACTTACATTCTGTCTCAGAGCACATTTTAGTAGAAGTGTCTTTGATCCAGCAGAGGCGATAACCAGGGTTTCTCAAGTTTAAACAGTAATAAAGGATAACTAGGTTTTGTTAAAAAGAAAGCTATTTTATTAGCTACTGGTTATTTGACTAAGATGTTCCTCTAAGGAACTTTTTGAAAATGTCAGCATAGAATTTGGGTCAAAGAAGTATCATTAGAGTTTACAAAAACCACATACTTTGCTGCTGTTTAGAATACACTGTTCAGATGCACAGTTCATCTGCTAACATGAAGAGTATCACATGCCTCTTGAAGGTAATGCATTTCACCAGTAAATCTGCACAAGAGAGATAACGCTTACTTTCTTAATCACTTCTTGAACATGAGTTAGAACCAGGTGTTGGAATGATGTGGGGGAAGACAAGAATGAGAAGAAACAATTGAAAACTGTCCTCCCATTATTTTTTTTCTCTATAGCAAATTAAAAAGTATGCAAAAGAATTTTCCTGAACCACACTTCTATACCTTAACTTTATTTGCTTTAGTTGAAATTCTTGCTGCAACTGGCTGCTGACCCACTATTCCTGAAGTGGCACAGGAAGCAGAATTGCATGAGCCTCAAAGTTCATTATTTTATGTTCTTGTGAGCCTTTTCTTTCAAAATAGCTGACTAAGGCTCGAGCTTGGTAGTGGCTGTTCCTAGTTCTAGACGTGCTGGCAACTTTTGTTGGCTGCTTTGAAGGGAATGTGACTGTGAATCAGTTTACCATTTGCTTGTTACACAGACACTCATTCCTAAGTATCAAGCTCACCCATGGCTTTCATACCACTGTTTTCAGATTCTCAAGCCACAGTATAACCCATTTTGCCCTTTTCATTATTATTAACAACTAAATAACAGCTTCTCATATCTGAAAATAACTGTAACAAAAGAAAAGAGATTACTGTAGAGTATGTCAATTCTGAAATAGCTTTGTGTGCATATGCAGCTGTGCAGCTTTTAGAAAATAGCCTTTTCAAGTTGCATTATCAGCATTCTATTTCATAGGCCCAAATCTGCCATAGCATCTAGTCAGCATAGCTCTGTGTCTATTTTCCATTTACATAAAAAGCAATGGACTCAATCTGTTTCTTATCTTGCATATGAATAAATTGTACTGTTACCATAAAAAAGGTTTAAGAACCTATTTATCCAGGTTTAAGCAAATCCTGGCAATGAGAGTTACTATTATCAGTGTGTATTGTGGTATTTCTRGGTTTTATATGGGAAAAGAGAGACCTGGTCTTTCCAGGTTAAAGCAGATGCAGGTCATCTTCTCAAATCTGTGGTCAAGATATTTCAGCTAAACCTTCTTAGCCTTCTCAAGGAAAGGAATATTATGGGGAGACCAGAGGAAGAGGAGAAAGGGCAGCTTTGTCTCCATGGCTCTGAGTTACTTCAGGAGCACTTCCATCTATTGATAGCACTAGCTCAGAGTAGCACAGAATGGCAGCAGAATGAGYAGCAGAGTTAACTCAAGCAAGATGACAACCCAGAAATGTGTTCTGGCAAGGAAGGGAATGGGGTCACCACAGCCTATCTTCCCGATATAAAAACACTCTGTGAAATTAATCAAAGGAAGGACAGTAATACATAATTGGTGAGCTATGGAAGTTATAAGAGTAATGTAGGTAAAACTTTGAAATTGAGACCTATCTCCTAGCAGAAGTCTTGTAGCTTACAGAGAGCAGATCTATCTACACCATTCTTAGAGCGGATGCCCTTGGAATGCATGCAAAAATTTGTCATTTTTCCTGCCTCCAGTTCCCTGTATCTGTGCTGTACGTACTGAGCTAGCCAGTGGCCCATACAGCTTTTCAAAGGCCTCAGCTCCTTCCTGGGCAAGGTTAGAAGAACTCAGCATAAGAAATTAAAACTGAGCAAGATAGATTTCACTATACATAGTACTTGAAATAGATTTTCTTCCAAAACAAACAAGACAACATCCATACCAACACATCCTTGATTGCACAGCTGTGTTTTAGCTTAACTCCAAAAAACACTTTCTCCAATCTAAGAGTATAGTCCCTTTTAAGCATATAGTAGAGGCAGGAGTTAATTTAATGTCTAGGAACATTTACTTTACATTTACTTCAGTGATTTACAGAACTCACTAAATGTGGCATGTTGCCAGTTTTTCTAGATCACTGGTCACATTTGTGCGCAAAGTTGAGTTATTTGCTCACAAATAATTTGAGTTATTGTCTTTACAGAAGTAATATCCCATTTTTGTCTAGTGTTACATTGTCTGTTGCAGTATTTTGAGAGAGCTCCAAAAAATCTTAATTCTAATGATTTTTTGTTAGAGCAACTATTTTTATAGGCCTTCAAGAACATGACAAGAGTGAACATAGAAATCATGAGAACAGAGCTCCTTTCAAAAAACAATGTCGCAACAGAAGACTATATATCTAAAAAGTATTTAATATTACTTAATGTATAAAAATATATTTCTAGGCAGGAGTAAAATCATAAAAAGTCATGCATTGTATATTCAATAATAACATTCTCAAGAGACAGGCACACAAATACTTATGTTAAAAGACTGACCATTAATGACAAGGATCTCATCAGCCTGTCCTGCAGTACCTGGGCAAGGAGAGGCCCTCCCCGAACACAGGGATTACAACCAGGGTCAGCCTAGAGCCCAGAGCTGCAGCAAACTCCTCACAGGGCAGCTGACACACAGTGAAGTCCACAGGGTGAGGATCATGTCTGCAGTAAAAGGGCAAGCCCAAGGCCAAGCCAGCTCTCCAGCCTGTGCGTGCAGGTCTGGCTTATCAGGCCTAAAGCCAGACAGGCTATTGCTAGAGGCCAGCACTGCTGCAGCAAGAAGGAGAGGAGAAATAGGGCCCTAAACTGAGCTTAAATAGGCTCACTGGCCTGGTCAGGGTGGGTGGAGATCCCCAGGTGAGGTTGGTCAGGGCAGGATGGAGGTCTCCAGGTGGGGTTGGTTAGAGCTACCAGGCTCTTGGTGCTCTCCAGGCCCAGTACAAGCACTGACCTGTTCTGGGTCTGCTCAACTGCAGACTCAACAATTCTGCACCAACCCTGTGATCTTCAAATTACCTATAAACATGTTGTGCATTTCACGCTTCTGGATTGTATGGCAGTTTGTCATATTGTTTTATATAAAATGTAAATGTTGAAGTTGATTGCAGTAATCTGCRCAAAACATACAACTGGATATGGGCACACTGTTCATGATACACAATTTAATCCTGGATCCTGGTTCTATCTGACCTTCAAAACATCTTAGGCTTTGTTTAGAGACTTTTACAGCATTCAGCTTTACTCCTGAGGATCGGCATTGGATCAGCAGGATTGCAGGGATCAGTGCTACAAACCTGATGCAAACAGAAGTCCCTTAGCAGATAGCCATTTTTTGTCTGAAACAGGACTGAATAAGTCTATTCCTCAGCCGTTTTTAATTAGGTGTTTCTAAGAAATATCTAGATACAAAGGTGAAGTCAGCCTATCCTAGAGTCAAGATAGGCCAAAAAAAAAAAGAAAAAATATTTTTTAGTACATTTAATACTTTATAATAACCATTATTAGGCAGAATTTATTGAAGATTAGGGAGTATGAAACTGACAGAATGATCTTGAATTCCTGAATATGAAACATAATAATACAGGGGTATTTATCTATAGATGAAATTCTTTTCATCTATAGATGAAAACTTTTAGTTTTAAGGGCATACATTTTAGAAATACATTTWAAAAAGTGTAACTTGACTGCTTTCTCAAATCTTTGAAACCTATTCCCATTATGGAAGTTAGCAGCTTTACTATTGATTTCATGAGGCAAGAAGTTTGACCTGTAGTTGCATTACACATGTAGCTACAATGAGAATGAACAAAATGGTTTCAACACTTCAAATTTTATTTCAAAGATACTGGAACAGAAGTGTCATTTTCAAGGCATTTCATACAACATGGTAATTTCTAAATCCTTTTCCATTTCCTTTGCTTTTAACAAGCAGGCACCTTCTGATCAACAAAAACGAATGACACCAATCTCCCTTGGCTTTGGTCTGTTGATTTTATAGTTCTCTTATCTTAAGACCTGATTTAGGACATCTTTCAATGATCAGACTGGACTGTGGAGCCCTGCATGGGGCTTTTTACCGTGAATTTATGAACTTGCAATCTTATTCCTTGTGAGACTTAACATAAATCACAGTAAAGAGGTCCAACATGACACGTGATACAAGTCCACTACCACACACACACAAAAAAAAGTAGCATCTGATATAAACACTTCAGTTAAACCTTGGTCTCTAAACTAAGCCTTAGTAAATGCTTTTATCAGAAGTTTATTCCATTGATAACAGAATGGATTCTCCCCTGCTCAGCAGAGCCTTGGCTCTGTGACACTGCTGTATCCAAGAAGAGTTCCGGTACTTCTGCATTTTCTACCCTAAYGCACCGCCTCAGGATTCTGCCTCTTACCTTGTCTTACTCCTCCAGCTTGATTATTATGAAAAATTATTAAACTGCTCGTAGATTTGTTCCTCCTATTTAAATAGTTTCTGACTGCTGAAACATAAATTCAACCTAAGATTCCATGCTATATAAATAGAACAAGACAATTGGGAGATATTTATTTTTCAGATGGTTTAATTGCATATTTGCTAGAATTGATTCCCTTAGCATATGCAACTTTCTTAAAAAAATAGTTATTTAGCTATGATATCCTGCATATTCAGCAGCTTGGGATCCAACCCCCTTGCYGGCAGGTGTGCTATTTGAAGGACAGTTGCAGTTAGGGCAGTGGTGGTGTGTTGGATTGCAGTGGTGAGATGATCTTGACATAGAAAGAGCAGCGGCTGCTGCAATCATGGGCATTGAAAACCACGGGTTACAGAAGGGCAGCAGACTGGCCCAGTGAGCTTGCATGGCTGATATGTCTGGATACATGGACGGAAAGGCGGGAAGCCCCATGACGGGTCTAAAAGGACTGTTTGGCACAGGAGGTATAAGGTGGTAGAGCGAGGTGGAAGATGGAGGTTCAGCAGCGTCAGGATCCTGCACGCTGCCTTCAGCGTGGCTGCCCTGCTGCGCTGGGAGGAACAGGGCCGGCTGAGTTAGCTCATCCCCATCTTCTGCCGCAGGAGGCTCCAAGAGGCTCAGGGAGGCTGCGTGGGAGGCCGCGAAACCGCTTCTGGTTCGGCCGGGAGCTTTCGCGAGTCCCTTGATGGCTGCGGCCTTCCTCGGCGCGGGTGGCGGCGCCTTCTCCCTCGGGGCTGCTGTGAACAGATCGGGCTCCTCGACAGGGGCGAGGCCAAACGTGGACTCRACGTGAGGGCTTCTGCCCTCGCTTCTCAGGCGGCTTTCATTAAAATCTTGATTCAGTGAGAACGCAACCGGTGGTTTAGTTTTTATGCCAACTCTTCGCTTACATCTTACTAGGAGGTGGGGATAACCTCTCTTAAAGTTTGGGTTATAATAGAACTGTAACTAGAGAAGGCAAACGAGAAGAATTAAATGCCACYATTTCAAGATTCAAAAACACAAAGACAACCAAGAATTTTCAACATAAAAGACAAACATTCAAATTAAAAACGTATTTTAAACCTGTTYAGGCCTAATAAAATTTTAAGACACAATTTTATTAAGTAACAACCTTTTAGCTCCTTTGAAGCGTAGGATTTTCCAAAGCATAAAAACTGATTTAGAAAACCTGAATGCCAGTAGTTTTCAGCAAGGGTAGAGAATGAATACTTAGGCAGTAGTGTGATGCTAGTAGGATTCAGCAAATGCCACACAAAACACATTTTAAATCTGATACCCTTTCTTTGTTTTTTTTTTGGTTTTCTTTTGCATATAGTGGTGTAAGAAAGCCTTATATTTTTTCCTCCCACCATGTATTCAAAGTAAGGGAAATAATGAGAATYTTTTCAGCGTCATTTTTACCACAGTAGAAAATTCTAAGTTATTTCATGTTTAGAGACATACCTTGCTAAAGGCAGAAGCTGCTTTTTCCTCTGCTAGAAATTCAGCAAGTGAGGCAGATCTTTGAAAATCCTGTCGCATTTTGCTAAAACCATAAAGGTTAAGCTGTCGAATGAAGCTTTTCATGCAGTCAGTTTCAAAAATTCTCAGCGGTCCTCTCCTTTCTAGCACTTCCTTTTTGAAGGACTCTTCATCAATCACTACACAGTTCCCATCATCATCCCACCAAATTGATTTAAACTGATCACTTTCAACAATTTTCCAGAGCTTCTTTGGAAAGGTGAGGAATGAAAAATCATTGACTTTGGCACAGCTATCGTCAGAGAGGTTAAGACGTGGTCTTTTTGCCCAGGGCCCATCGCTCAAAGCCTGAAAAGCATTTTCTTCTGGTACAGATCTTAAAGCAGTATCGCAAGCTGCTGTTCTATCATATACTGGAGCAACAGAAGAAATTGAGATTACAGAATCAACTATTTTATCCCGAACAGAAAAACAGGATGTTTCTGCTAAAGACAGATCCATTTCACATTCTCTTTTCCTGCTTTGACTGAATTTTTCAGATGTAGCCATTTGCACTACTTCCTGCTGTGAGACAGCAAGATAAAATAAAAGGATGCTATAGCTTACTCTGAACTTCAATAGAGAATTCTACAACATCATAATGATACCCCTGTTGTCTTGCCATGACATCATAAAATAGTGGCGTTTCCTAGCAAAATGAAGTAATAAAAATTGCTGAATTCAAGTTGCTTTTCATTTACAAAGCTGCAGATCTTGACTGTTGTAGTCAGAGAGTATATCCAACTTAATTTGAATTTAACCTGTGGTAGGACAAGGACTATGTCCAGTTGCATCTAGCGAGGAAAATAGAAGTTTGCAGCGTCAGGAAGTGACAGTTCTGCAGTATYTCACAAACATGGAAGATTCTGTACAATCTCTACTCATGTCATTTAAACATTAACTGTAAAGAAACATGATCCGAAGCATTAAAACTACCCAAACTGTTGGTTCACATAAATKCAAAGTGTAACTGCAGTTACAGGGAAGTATCAGCCATACGTTATGTGCTAGAAGCATCGTCTAAGAAAAGTAGGTAGCCAAAACACAGGGAAAGGCTTGGAGAGAGGGAGGAGAGCTCATCAAATTATCTGCTGTACCTTAAATCACACAGCAAAGAATGGCRGTAGTTTGAAATACAAGAGAATGACAGAAGGCAACTCCAAAGACTCACCAGCCCATCCTCGTGCCAGGCTCAGCAAACRTGCTCTTCCTTACCCCTGTCTGACCTGTTATTTAGGCCTCCACTAGCCTAAAGCTATCGGAGCTTAGCCTCAGTAGATCCATTAGCCTCAGTAGATCATTTGCTCTTGAAATGAGCACCACAGTATATTGCCATTGATAAAAGACATGAAACTAAGTGGTAATGCAGTATATATTTCAAATATCAAAAAACTAATGCAGTATATATTTCAAAGACTAACTTCTCAAAAGGATCTGAAGTCAGAGAAAATCTATCAAAACATTTTTCTTCAAATGAGAAAATGCTTTTCAACATGAACCAATTCATCTTTTGAACAGTTTTATCATTTATACTGAACCTAACAACTTGGTATGAAGCACCAAACTTGTTTCGATATTAATACTAACAGTTGTAAGACTTATAACTCATGTTTCCAGCATAGATTACACACATCATACAAGAAACAGTTTATTGAACAGACAAAATAATGGGAGAATGGTATAGGTGTTGCTTAAGGAAAATTAGAACATGAAGCCAGCAACACTTAGTCCCCCAGCCAGTGCAAAAGTTGGAATATGTACATAATAATTTACATAGCTAACAAAAAAAATATTATGTAAGCTGTTATACATTCTGTTTCAAAAAAGAAGCTTTCAAGTCTTGCCCGAGTAACGCAACACTCCTGTGCCTCTGTAGTTAAGATGATTGTGGCTGCATAGAAAAAAGTAAGGAGATACTACACTAATACATACGGAACTTGAAATTTGAAAAATAAAGTGTACATTTAAGACCTGAAAGACATCTGTAATAGCATAGGCATTTCATACAGGCTTTTTAAAAAAATACTTTTACATAATATTTATACTGTACAGGACTAAACTTTTAAACAATATATTACACTGCTAAATTGTTCATATAAATACTATACAGCCAAGTGTGTAACCAATCCATTGGGAAGGTTCACAAATTAGACAGCCATTTATCTCTATGGGGAAGTGTCRTAACGCCTACAAAACTCAGGTGATGAACAGTGGGCCTCAGCTACTGGCAAGTACGTTATAAAGCCTGAAGTCTTCAACACCCTATTCAGGACAAATAATGCCCCCATCTCTGGATTAACATTTTTTTACATTGTTGATTTCATGGGGTACATTTTTGTATGAAGTTTGTTTCCACCTGTGAACTAGAACTAGTGTTCCCACTTTGATTTGCTTCCATACGATTTTACACAAACATGTAAAGCTCTCAAATTATATTAAAAATCTCCGACCTCTATAATACAAGCCACTGATTCACAAATAGCTATTTTTAAGTAATCAGGACAAGGCATGAGATGAAACACATTTGTCTACTGATTCCCAGTTCCAGTGTATCAACCTGTTGTCATCTTAGTCTGGCATATCAATGTTTAACTTGGGAGGTGGAATCACGTATTTTCCAGGACTCTGTGTAATGACCACTCCAGTCTTTTTCCTGAACATTGGTGCAATTTTTGGTGGTTCTGGAACTGGTGTTTCTTCTGCTTCCTCACTGTCTTCATGATGAAGATCATATGAAATATTTCCATATTCTCGCAAGAACGGGAAAATTTCAAGCAGGAACTGACAGAAGTCTTTTCGAATTCCAAACCACCCTAAAAAAAAGAGGTGAAAATTCAACTAAATAGAACAAGCAGCCCCCTATTTCAAGTTCTCATGTAGATTCCCTTTTTTCGTATTAACAGCTGTAAAATTTCTGCTAACATCGCTTTGCAGTGCATTATTTATAGCTGTAGTACAACAGCACTACAGTTCAAACACAATATGAAGTAATAGACTGCAACTCCACAACAGCAGCAAGAATCCATTCCATTTCACGTGTTAAGCAGTGTCGGATCAAATCAGCACATGAAAACACAAGAGGCCTTGCATCTGCCCAGGAAACGGAGGTCACGCGGACAATCATTTCACAACAGCTTTTGTCTGATATGCAGAAGACACAATAGCAGAAGGGATATGATGCCACATGGTTCCACAGATTAGTGCTGTATGTGCTCTGCATTCCACAATATTTGTGGTATTAGCTGTAAACAGGAATACATAATCTTTGGTATTAACTGTGCTATATGAAAGTCAGTAGGCTGCCTGTGTGGATACGGTAGGCAGTAGGTGCTGGTAATTCAGAAGATGGCACTCATTAACGGAAGGGCAGTGTTGCAAGGAACAGCCTGCTCTCCGAGTCAAATCTTTCACACTGAAGAAAGCCAAAGTATTAAATATCTGCCAGGAAAGATGCCATATTTGTGCAGGGATTATACTTAATGTAAATTGGTGTATTTCATGTAACACTTTAATTGGTCTTAAGTGCATTTTGATGAGTAATTTTAAAGAAATAGTTTTGAGTGCTTACTAACTCTAAATGAGATAATACAGAGATAAGGCTTTTAAAAAGACAAAGCAGACTCTTAAGTTCTCAACAATATTCAACTTTTTTTTTAATCAAAATCACCAATGTTTTCTATATCAGATCAATACAAAGATAAGCAAGCAAAATTTCAYTGGGAATGCTTGAGTTCAGGTAGAAAAACAGTTCTGTATTAATAAAAAGAAACACTACGAACACTGAAAACAGTCAAATTCTCAGCAGAACAGTAACCCTTTTGGGGGGGAGAAGGGGGTAACTCTTAAAGATACATTTACATCTTGAATTCCAGTCTGAGAGCAATGCAATTTTACCCAGAAATGATTATGAAATACTTACAGTGATTTCCTCCTTTTTGTCCAAATGTTGTTGCCATTAAAGTTATCAGTGAAAGCCAGAGAGGAACAAATATGGGTATAAAAGAGAAAGAGTTATGYCCATCTAGCCTGTGCACTAGTAAAATCTAATGGGAAGAGAAAAGAATGACAGTGTTAGTTTTATTGCAATGACCAGCTCCAAGCTTAGCATCTATAGTCTGATCTCAGATCTTTAATTTTACACATCTGTAACGAAAAAAGGYCTTCAGAGAAGCATCAAGCTACAGTTCCTATGCCTTACATTTTACTCAAAAAGCTTTCAAAAAATAACCTTCAAATGCCAAATGATTCCTGATTTTCCTTCATATTTGCAGTTAAGATTTTATTCCAAAACAGAAAGCATTATGTCCATCTTAGCAGATTCAGAAAGTGACAAACCAACATGCACTCCCTGAAAAAAAAAGAAAAAATAATACTTTTGCCTACCTCAAATGTGAGCAGAGGAACGACAATTGTCATCCAGCTGACAGCCATTGTTATGTGTGTCCTCCTCTGCTCAGCAATCACATCCATTGAGCGCAAGAACAGAACAGACCATACAATGTAGTAGAGCACTACTAGACACAGAAACGACATCAAGATCCATAAGGGAACGCAAACAACCTGAAAAAGAAAAGTAATCTTAATTTTTTCCCCTCTGCCAGTGAAAAATTATCAATATTTTTTAAATTAAGCAATTTGACATTAAATCTAAATTACAAAAAAAAAACACGTAATGCTCTGTAACTAATATCCCTAACAAAAAATCTCTCTAACAAAAAATGTTTCATTATAATAATATAATAAATAGTATAACAATAAATCACACAGACTGTTACAATAAGAAAACCACTTTTTACGTACAAGCCACGGCCATCTGATGATTTCATCTAATCTGAGTGCGATAAATATGAACTGYAGAATGTTGACTGAACACAAGATTTCCAGCTAGAAAGAAAAGAGAGATCACAGTTCACTCCTGATCCCGCTAGTTCACTTCAGTTTCCAYTAGTTCCTACAGTTCACTCTTAGTCCCACTGATTCAAATCCCACTGATTTCCAATCCCATTAATGTCAACCACAGTACATATCAATTAAGGTGAATTCTAACAAAATATATTCAGGCTTGCATTGTCCCAATCCTTAGACCTAACAAATAGGCTTTACCTCCAAAGATCTGTCATGTCGGAATCCCCACACACAAGCCGCAACTGACACTGGAGATACAAAGAATAACGGCATGAAGACCAGAAGCCAAAAATGGGTTCCTCTTTCGATCCTGTCACACACCAGAACTTCAAACATCAGCAGTAGCAGGTGGATGCCTACTGCAATTAACATAGCTTTGAACTCCACACACGTTTCTCCTTCTGCTCTAAAGAGAGGTTAAGGAAGCATTCAGTTTACTTGTTGGTAAGGAAGCATGCTAGCATACAAACATTCTAAGGCATAACAAGCATATGTTTTTGACCTAACTAGCCACTATGAAAATACAGTGCTGATAAAATAACAGYTTTTCTTGCCCAATAAGCTGTAAGTGCATTTAAAATATTGCTACCCAGACAGAAAGGCCAAAATGTTTTTGGCAAGTTAAAAATTTTCTAAAGGTTTAACTGCTGAACAACTGAAGTGGATTTCTCTGTTGCTACTGAGGCCCTCTTATTCCATGCACATTGCCAGGCTAAAGCTACTTGCTTGGTTCCTATCCCAGGTCACTGAATCAAATCTTTGTGCASAACAGCTTTATTCACATAAATCAAAATATTCCAACAGAATACCATCTATTAGTAAGAAATAAATTATCTTTAAGGTGACAGCACACACAAAGTGAAAGCACATACATTTTTCCTATACATGCAGAACCAGTACTAGAGGGGTGAACAAGACAGTTCTTAAACAATACAGACCTGAACTGCACAGTATGAAAAACATATTATGTTCCTTCTGTTTTGGAAAACAAATATCCTCAACTTACCGATACTGTGGGTTTCGGGCCCATACTCCTGTTCCCACTGAGGCACCAACAATCACCATTAGCTTCCATAGCCATATTGGAGCAAACACAGCCCAGTAGCTCCACTGAATTTTGTCATCCAGACGTAAAGAGAGCAACACAGAAAAAAGCAGTAGACAGGCATATATAAGAAATTTGCTATTTAAAAAAGGAAAAAAAAAAAGAGGAAAAAACAGAGTTAGAATTGGCAGACATTTTGACATGAACTTTTCAGAAAAAAAAAAAAAAAGCCAAAACTATATTAGAATTTAATCAGGACACTGCTTAACAGAAAACGCATGTCTCAATTGTCTCTGCAAACTCTCAAATCTGCTCTGAAGAGACAAATATTCCATCATAAATCAGCATATGTCACCTCTCCCACTTGCAAAACCACCACTTCAAGGGAACGCATCAAAAGCATTCTTGCATGACAGACTTAATGAACGGACTTCTAAAAATAGTTCCCTCCCACAAAGTTCAAGTCAGGAACTGTATTATTAGAGACTCAGAAATCCTCCAGTTATGCACATTTCTGGAAAACGGGTTCTTTTACATCGATCAATGAATTAGGTTAGAAATATCTTGGATATTTCTTTGTAAATGAATTTTGAACAACTAAAATTGACTACATATGAAAAATTAACTGTTACTTATATTCACATGGCAGATGTGGTCACTAGCCTTCTAGACAGATGTAAACCAAAAAATTACAGAGAAACAAGCTCAAACTTTTAAGGAAGCTACTGACTATACTGTGAAATTACTTTCTAACTGAGCTATGTAGAGTGGTGCTTATAAATTTAAGAGAGCTAAGTTGGTACATTTTATAAACTAGTCAACCTAGGAATGAATAAATGTTTGGGAATACTTGACACAGCAATTGGCACAGCAGGTCTTTGTACCACCCAAAGTCACACAAAATAATTATATAGTACATGACTTCCTCACACTACAAGTAGGGAAAAGTTATTCACACATAAAGCGCCCTTCACCTAAGCATCACAGAGTGCTTTATAAAACACATAATTAAGCTTCAGTATTACTTCAGCGAGGTAATTTTATGTATTTTAAATCATGGATAACCCAAAGAACAGAGTATATATTTGCTRCAATGTTAAGCAGGAACAGTCAGGAATTATTATTTCAACAGCATAACTCAAACTATCCACCTGCATTCTTAGCAAAAAATGAAAAATATATTCAATGGCTCTGCATTGCTGGTTCAGATAGCAAGCCAGTTTAGTTTCCCTCTATTCAGCACAAATTTCATCTGCCCTTTACCAGCACAAAGTAGCTATTGTATCTGTGTTTCCTAGCATGATTGATACATCAAAGTAAAACATTCCTAAGAACAGGAGATTCTTTAAATTTCCAGGCTATTCATAAAAGTCAAAAATTATTTTTTTTTTGCAGTTTGTAAGCTTTCCCCTGCCTCTCAATAAATACACAAATMAAATACCACTGAGGAGTACCAAGTGTTCCAGTAGGCATCAAAGCATTTAACATGAAAGTGGCAGTTGTGCAGAGAATTAAATCTTGCTCATTCATCATTTAGACCGCATCCAAGAAAGCTGCAAATATCACATATCAATAATAAAACCTCATCAGCTGCTGGGACTTTTCTTCTTGCTTTCCCCTTCCCTACAAGGAGGCATTGTATAAATATTTCAAGTGCTTATTTCCAGCTCTCTGCAACAACACGTTTCCTAAAGCACTTGTTGTTCTTTGTTTTGTCTAGACAACTGATTGAACACAGCTTTTGGAGATTGCAATTACAATCCTGGAAGGCCGCTTCCAGGAGTAACATTTTCCAGGACTTCYGGCGTTCCATGCCATCTTACACAGTTCAAGAGGACTCTATATAGCATTTTTAAAGCATTTTACACTAGAACAGAAAAATTCAACTCTCACTCAAAGCTTCTTTTGAAATTGGGTGCATCTGCAAACCCCTAGCAAGACAGCACAAACTCACTTATGGTGACTGCCTTTTCTTTCTTGCTTTCCCTTTTTCTTTTTTTTTTTTNTTTTTTTTTTTTTTTTTTTTTTTTTTTTTTTTGGCAAAAAAGACAGCGACAAGCCCAGAATAAGGAACTAACATTAGTACTTGCCCACGTCTAGCTTAGGGCTTGTTAAGCCTGCTAAAACAAGCCTCCACTCCATGCTGAACGCCTGTGTTAAAGTAGAAAACAACCTTAATTTCCAGCTCCCCACTTCACAGGTGAAAACATCAATTTGAAATGCTGTAAAACTAAATAAACACACAAAAAAAACAGTAATTTGGGAAAACACATCTAGAAGATGTTCGCAGTTTTTTAATATTATTTAATGGGAGAGAAGAGGCAAAAAAAATAAATAAAGGAGGGGGAAGGCTCGCCGCGGCCGCCAGGCTAAAGGGCCCCGCGCGTTACCGGTAACGGCTGCTGCGGGAGGACCGGACCGGGCCAGGCCCGGCCGCAGGCGCTGCCGCCGCGCGGGTCCCCTGCGAGCCGCGGCGCGGCCTCACCTGGGGTTGAAGTCCTGGAAGAGGCCGCGCAGGTTCATGGCGGCTCCGGCTCCGGCTCCCGCTCAGCCGCGCTACCAGCCGCGCATGGCGCCGCGGGGCCTGRCCTCGCCGCCGGAACCGGGCAGCGCCGCCCGCCCCGCCCACGCATGCGCAGCCTCGCCCTAGAGGGCCACGCCCGCGTCGCGTCACCACCGCGCGTGCGCGCTGCCTGAGGGGCGGGGCGGGGGGAGATAAAGCGCGTCGCGGGCGGGAGCCGCTTCAAATGCTGCCGGACGGCGTGAAGGAGCGCCGTATATCATTGCCGTTCTGTTGGTTTGTGGGGTCGGTGGAGTCCTTCTGAGCGCGTCTTGAGACCCTCTTGTGGGGCGTCGACGCCTTCGGCCGTTTCACCAGGAGTTAGAGGCTGGAGCCGCCCCCATCTTCTGCGGGGGGTGCGAGGCGCCCGGGGCGCTTGGATAGCGCTCGCCCTGAGCCGCGCGCGCCTCCTCCATCCCCGCTCGCRTTTCAGGTGCCCGGGCGCTCAGGAGGCGCGGGCGGAGGCGCCGGCTCCGCTCCGGTTCCCGGCGCAGCCCGTGTTGCTCCCCGCTGGTGCCCCTGCCGGAACGCGGCTGTGGGACGGGGTGTTCCCGGGCGCCGCGTTTGTCTGTGATCCCACTCCCTAATTTCTGGTGTGGTTTGTGACAGGCTGCTGTCGCAGCATTTCCACAGCATGAGTCAGGTATTAATTGGACAGATGTGTCAGGAACGCCTGGTTGTTTTTGGATACCTCGCTGTTGAGTGGTAGTGGTGCTCGGCCATCRCCGCAGTAAGCAGCCTTGTCTGGTGTTAAAATGAGATATGAGATACGATTCTTTCTAAATTTAAAATCTCTTCCCTTACTAATTAAGATTACATTGCAAGTGAAATACTAATAGGAGAGAAATTCAGTCTTGTCTTGAGCCATAGCTTCTGCAGGAAGATGAAGAAAGAAATGTAAATGATATAAGTCTTCATTTGATGCTAACAGGACTGCTAATTTATACTGGATAGGATTTTAGGCCTCTGTGTGATTTATTAAAAGCCAAAACTATTATTATAGCTCTTGAAAGCATTTTATCAGTAAATACCGATCTACTCAAAGATGTGCTTCATCTGGAAATGCTCACTGGCAAGTTGAATCTAGGTGCAATTTTAACCTTATTGGCAACAACACAAATACATGAAGACTTCCACACCAGGAGGTCTGGCTTTCTGCAGAAGATATTGAACTCTGATATGGCGAGGGTATGTCACACAGTATGGGAATGCAAGGACATGCCAGTACCAATAACGGCAGGATATGTGAGAAGACAGGTAAGCAATCAAATGAGAGAAGTGTAAAAATGCAATGAAATAGAAGAAAGGAAAGGATGATTTTTGCAAGCTGATGAGGTGAGAAGTGTCAATAGACCTGTGGGTCAAYAGACTGTGCAAGGCAGTACACCAGTTTCTAAGGAATCAAAACACTACCCACAGGTGATTTGAGTAGAAAAACTTTAAAAAAAATTAAGCGATTTGTTTTTCCTATGCTTTTCCAAAAATTGAGCCTTGCTGATTTGGAAAAAGAACAATTACAGTGCAATGCATTTATTCAGATAAAATATATCTGCTGCAACGCATAAAGAAACTACAAGACAAGGCAGTACCTGTGGGCATTATCTTTAGCCAGATGCAATCATAAAACAAAGGCAAAACAATATTAACAAGAAATTATCTCAACTCGAGAACTGTTAATAATTTAGAAGTCTAATAAAACAGCATGCTGATCCTAAGAATATTCATGAAGGGCTGTAGGAGTAAATCAAGAAAGATTTCTTCTGCAGTTATAATGTTTGGCTGACTGCCCAGACAGTAAAACAGTTCCCATAAGGAACAAAGAACTAGAGAAGAAGTCCTGAGCTACAGAAAACATGATAGAGATAAAGCTTTAAAAACAAGAAAGGGAGAGACAACTATACAGAAGGAAAAGAGCTCTTTYAGATACAACTGTGGATGTTCCAGCTGAGAAAAACTTTGCTCATTTCATGTGCAATTGCTTTTATTTTTTTCTTTTTCTGTAAAGAATATTTAGCAAACGTAGTCCTCTGTAGGAGAGCAGACTTTGCCCCCTTCTTTCCTCCTGAGGAAAATTTAACATCTTGCTGCTTAGCAGCTGCTTTCAGTTTTGACAAACATGCTGGGTGACATTTTTCTCTCTGTAAAATATCTGTTCATTCAGCGAGCATCAGAGCCAGGCTCAGCAGGGAAGCAGCAGCAGGCGCAGGAGTGATGCCAAAGGGCACTGTTACTCCTATGGTCCTTTAAAAGGATGTATTTTATTTGTAGCTGGGGAGCTGTGTGAGGTATGGGAACCCCTGTTCTGTAGAGCTGTTAYGGGATTTTAGATGCAGAGGACACGGTTGTGCTCATGTAATTTCTGCCCTCTAACAACTGAGATCCAAATGATGTGGTCTTGTTGTCTGTCTGCCTGTGTTTTTTTGGGTGTGTGGGAGGACCGAGGTGTTTCGAGGCAGTGAAGCCACCTTTGGGGTGGTTGTTGAGGGCAGCAGCAGTGCAGTCGCATGAGAATTGCCTTTTGTGATAACTGGCAGAAGCTACTGCTGTTTAGAGATGTTTAAGCTTACTGTGAAAACGAAGGAAATAAGGACTATATGCTTCATATGGAAAAGATTTACAGGAAAATACAAACTCCTATGATACTATATATCCAAAAGAGCAAAAAATTTTTTTTTTTTTACTTTATAATTGCCTAATTTGTCTTCTGAGAGAGGCTAGGTGAAAATAGCCTGAACGTAGAGTTGTTTACCTTGGTGACAGAACTTGCTTTGCTTGCCTAAGGGAATCTCCACAACACCTACCTGAGAAATAATAGTTGCCAGACTGAATTTGCTGAATAGATAATGTGCACTCAAAAGGAATAATTTTAAATGCCTGTGCTGCTAGATGCATAGTTTGACTGCTTGTTCTATCTGCTTAAATAACTTGAGCTAAAGGTTATTGTAGAGGACAGTTTTTCAGCTTCTAGCAAAGAAGGCCCTGACAGCTACATTCTTAAGTTCTTGGGTGAGGCTTGCAGGGAAAGATTCATAAAAGTTTGTCTTATTAGGTCTGTTATATAGTAGATGCGGATGTGAACTTTTAAGCAGAAATTATAGGTAACTAAAGTTGAGAAAATGGAGATAGAAATAGAAAACAGTTGTGTGAGAACATTCTGTCCCTTCCAACCTTTTGCTTTAATTTGGAATCAGCTGCTGGCCTAGTGACTGTGTTACCAAAACTTATGGCTGGAGAAGGAAACACCTGRAGAGGATCTCCCTGTTTCCTCCTGTTTAATTGCATGTGTTAAAGATGCCAGTGTGAATAAATACATAGCCAGTGCCTTCCTGTGCACCTGAAGTGAATTTCTGTAGAGGAGATTGAAGGATGTTGAGGAAGCTGTAAGTTCTAAGTAAGGTCAAGTTTCATGGTGAGCCTTTTTTTGATTCATTGATGATCCTTGGCAGAAGTTTCACRATGAATTGTCTCCTCATTAAAACTTTGAGCTACCTGGAATCTTCTGATGCAAAAATTCACAACTGACTTTGTCAAAGCAGTACAGCAAAGGGATAAATGCAGTTTGTTCCAGAGAGCGGATGTGGCCTTGAGCATTTCTAGGGGAAAAAGAACAATCACTTTGTTTTGTATTTTTTTACTTAAAATGGTAACTGTGCAGGAAATATTTACATGCGTTGGGGTAATGCTGAACTGCTAGGATATAAATTATTCTTAGTGTCTACAATGTCTTAAAGAACTCTACAAACTTGGATTTATTTATGCTTGCAATAAACCCCTATAACTGTAATGGGCAGATGATTAAAATGAGGCAGAAAGGCTCTGACAGGCTTCTTTATCAGCAGGTTTAAAATAAAATCTAAGGCCATAAACTGGCATGGCTAAGACAGAAGTGCAGGGTTTATTCTGTAAACTTTGTCCAACCACTAGTAAAAGACTAGGTAAGATAGAAAAAACAGATAGCTGTTGTCAGGGTGGTCAGATGGGTGATCTTAGCCCAAAGGCTGCTTAGGAGCATACCAGTCTTGTGGTTCCTCAGCCATGCGCTCTTGCAGGTCACGTCACATCTTAACTGCAAAGCTAGCTCATGCAATTGGCATTTGCAAGCCTGTTCCAAGTTAGCATCATCTGCAGCCTATTCTACTAGGGCTGTTGCTAGAAGAGGCTTTTAAAGATCATCACACAGTTTTTGTTACCGTAACTGGCTATTAAAATTTTGTGTTTGTTTGTTCTAGGCAAAYGAAGAACTTTCAGAGAAGCACTGAAGCACAACCAGCCCTGACAGAGTCCCCCATTCATCCATAGGAATGAATTCTTTATCAAGAGGGAAAAGGTCTGGGAGAGTTTTTCATGCAAGATCATAATTCTATCTATTTGCATTTTTTCCTTTTAAGTAAAGGCACCTACTAATTTTACCTAAAGCATTTTTCAGATTAAGAGTTTTAATGTTGCGGTAGGTCAGATTCTCCAGGAATCTAAGGAACCTGCATGTCTAGATAACATTGACTTTAAATGAGATTTCTGTCCATGGCTCCTTTAGGCTTTCTTCAGGAGTCAGTCAAAATAACACAAGATGAATGCTTAAATGCTACCAAAACAAGTAAGTTTTATCATTTTGTATACAAGAGGTAAGTTCAATTCAACATGCCTTGCAGCCTTGTAAATCATTATTTACAGCAGTATACCATGCGTTTAAAATACTRACATCCTGATGTGGTAACATCATGCAACATACACATTACCTGGTGCTGCAGGGCAGTGATAAATCAGGCTTCGTCTTAGCAGTAATTAGAATCAACATAGCTCCCTCTGAAATATATTCAAGGAAAAGAATGAGGTTAAACTTCAATATAATTGTAGCAAATTTACATGTCTGTTGCTGAGATAAGATATTAACCAGCTACTTGCTGCCTGTCGTTATTTGACAGGAAGCCACTTAAATCTCACCACTCTGGAAGCCACATGTGGAAGATCTGAAGAGGAAGTCATACATCTCACTTAACTGTGTTCAATGTTTCAGCTGTGAATTGTGAAACCAATTTTTAAGAAAAGCGGATGGGAGACCTATTTAAAGTGAAGGAGATTTTGAAAAGGTCAAAGACAAGAGCTTTTTACCTTGCTTTCAGGTCTGAGATCTATCAGCAAGATAACATTTGAGAATGTCTATTCATATTAAAGATAAGAGGAAGGTGGAAAGCTCCAGCTCGGTGAAGCAACAGGTAATTTTGGAGGGGGCTTCAGCATTGCAAAAATGTCTTTGCTTTTTCATTTGGTGGTGTTACTTAGTAATTTGCTTTGCAACACATCCCAACTCTGTAATAATAGCGATCTGTACTAACCTAATCACATACTGGTTTTCCTCACAGAATTCATGCAGTAAGTGAGCAAGGTAGGAAATGGTCACAGTGGCTATAAACAAAAATTATTTTCTGTTTCTGGACCTTCTACTGAAGAGAAGCCAGTCCATGCTAGTTTCCAAAAGACCTTATCCAAACCATAGGCTTCTTTTATTCTGCTGCTCTCTGCCTAATGGCAGATCATCCTCTCTGGTGCTTCCTTTTGCCTCCTTGCCCATGGCATTTGCTTTGCAGTCCACAGTTTGTGTGCAAATGGGAGCAGGAGCTGGGTCTTAGTGGGAATTGCTCCTCTCCTGCTTTGGACAGACAGAATGATACTACACAAATCACCTTAGCCTGAACAAAGTGTACTTTTGTGTCCTTGTCATAACGTGCTAATTGCAAGGTTTTAATGTTTGAAATAGAGTTGCTTAAGAGAGAAGGTGACCTCTCTTTGCAATACCTGAATACTGATGGCTGTATTCATCCCTCCTCTGAGGCTGTTTTAAAGAGGGGAATATAGGGTCTATTAGATTTCAGTATTAGCAATAAAGGGAGGTCTTTTTAGTTAAAAAGGTATTTTGTAATGATACTGAGGATACTGTCCAAAATACGCTCTTAAGCATCTGCTGTTAATCTAGAACACCAGATGAAAGAACTGAGTTTGTAAATGTTTAAATATTACCTTTTACAGCTTTTTTACCGGTTAAAGTCAAAACAGGGCTTGGAAGAATTGTTCAAAATTTTAAATGCTACTTGCCACAGACCTGCATTACAGACTTCAGTACCATTGCCTGTCACCTTGTTTACAGAGGCCCTGCTGTTTGCAGAGCATCTCTGTTGAACTCATCGGTAGCTGGAGAAATGGCCAGTGTCAAYGTGTGTGCACACAGAGCTGTGTCTCGGGGCTGCGCTGCAGTGTGCGCCTGCTGCAAGGAGCACTTGGGTGCAYGTGGTCCCTGAGGGCTGCCTGAACTGACAGGATGTTTCTGGATGCTGGGGGGAGGCTCAGGGTGTCYCTGTGTCCTCGGTACTCCCAGCCCTCCTCTGGCTGTGGTGGAGCAGAGCTGCTAGTGCATAATTGCATGAGTTGAAACTTAGGAAAATACAATTTGGAGATTTATCAATGTTACAGTTCAAGCACAATGGTTCAGGCAGAGCCATGTGGTGACTGGAAGTTCAGTCCCTCACCAAATGTGCCAGAAAAGGCTGCAATGGCTAGTGCACATACCAATGGTTTCCAAATCCTCTGTTTTTTCCCCTTCCCTCTCCATAGCAACTTTCTTGTGCAGCAGGAGTTTGCTCTTTAGTTCAGCTTGGTCTCTGGTAATTTCTCTGGTATTCTCTTGGGCACTGGTAATCTTACACTTGCAAATGAGGAAGCATTTGCAGAGTTAATAGCGTGTTTACATTTCACAGCTTTCTATAAAGCCAATTCTTCCTGATTTTTTTTAYTAAGATGAGGGGGGCAAATAGGTAGTTTTTCTGTCTACTAAGGCTAAGATAGGACTTGGAAGGATTGTTCAAAAGTTAATCAAACCCTGGTGGCCTCTTTTGTCCCTTTATATAGCCCAGCAGTTTACTTCACACTTACCCTTTACCTGCTGGTATCAGAGGCTCGTGTGCTGCTGGCCGCACCAATGCGCACTCCTGCTGACAACTTTACATCCAGCTGGGCCTGGGGGTGACCCAGGAAACCCAGATATATGCTTAATGTAGAATGTAAATATTAACTGGCTGTAGTACTAACAATTTTTTGTTTGATTTTTGTTTATTTGCTCGATTCCAAGACAGCTTCTCTAAATGTTGTGGAATGCACCCGATTTCCACATTCCCCGAGGTTGCTCCGTGTGTGCAGGGAAAATCGTTGTCGGGATAAGGTTAAACTCTCCCTCCCCAGTGGTGAGTGCCTGCGGGAAGGCGGAGAGCAGGAAGGGCCTCCCCTCCCGCGCCGCCTCTCCGAGGCCTGCGGGGCAGCGCGGCCCTGCGGCGACCCCGCAGCCTGGTGCGCGGCGGGGCCATGGCGCCCCCGT